CAAGGTCTATAGAACATAAGGTTACCCAATACCGATTCTCCTCCTCTGAGAGGCAAGGTGGGTCAGTGACGTAGCTGGTTCTATGAACAACACAACACGATGCGAGGTTTAAATATTTTATATAGACTGTACCACAGTATAGGCACGTATAGGCTATCTTTTATTCTGACTGTATCGAACCAGTGACGTCAATTTGCGGGGTAATAATCGATACTACAGAGGCATAGGGAATTAGGTAACCTTATGTTCTATAAACCTTGAGTACAATAGAGACTTGAAACTATAGCTAAGTTCAGGTCGGTACATCCAACATGTCTGACTTTCTGATTACCCCCACCACCACCACATACGCTCTCTAGATTATATATAAGACCTCAATAGTTCTAGGTCTAGTGTTAGTCCTAGATTTGCACTAGCATTGTCACTAGAACTAACACAAGACCTAGAACCAGGGTTCGCCCGATTTAAATCACTTGATTTAAAACAATTTTAATCAATGATTTAAATCAAGTAATTTTTTTATATTAATCATTAATTTAAATCAAAAGAGAAATGAAAATAAATATATTCATTATACAAAAACTGGTAAACCAGGCAACTAAAAACTAAGACAAACAAAAACAATAGTTAATAAAGTTTACATAGAAATACTAATTTTCTGGCTTTTTCCACTCCTCATTTGTGGATACATTGAAGTGGACGAACCCAAATGTTGTGAAGACCCCTCTCTATTGAAACTAAATAATAAACAACACATAAAAATTGTTTTAAAGTTGGAAGAAATTTTTTCAATGTCAGGAAGGTTCTTTTGTGATATCCACCACTGCTGAGCAGTAAGTAGTAAGGGATATAACTTCCTTGCAGAAAATGGTTCTATTTTCGCCTCTAACTTAACTATTAGTGGTAGTAATCTAGTATTAGCGTACGTATCTCTAAGTGTGTTCTTAGCTTCGTCTTTTTCTTCTATCGTCAATACAATTTATATTTTGTTTTAGTTACATCTAAAGTAAATACAAAAATGGTAAGGAGCAAGTGCCCATTTGTAAAATTTCTGATAAACTTGTATTTGAGACAGTGATACATCCAATTTTTCGTCAAATGAACTTCCTAATTTCCTAATTTTCCACATTTCGTACAGCATTATACTTTGACATATGATAACTAATCCAATTAATTAATCCAATAACAATCCTTTTTCAATTACATATTTACGAAATTATAACACTTTAGACCAACAAGACGAGATTTTCATTTTTCATCTCGTTATGCATAATCTTATTGTTCCAATGCCATAAGGAATACTTAAATACTTGCTATAATGTAAGAGTCGAAAGGGAGAATTACAGCCCTGTCGGTCACAAATGATTTTGTTTTTCACCCAATCGTTTAGGCATAACAAACATCGTGCAGATTTATTATTAAGGCGATTTCGATGTTTTCTCATAGTTAATGCAGCACGTGAGAATAATCTTTCCACCGGGACTGAAGTAGCCGGTATGCTTAAGAGATCTCGTGCCATTAAACTTAAAATAGTAAATTCAGAAGCATGAATTTTCCACCATTGTAATATATCTGTGTCTTTATTACACCGAAGCATAGAATAATATTTTTGAAGCTCCTGCATCCATTCTCCTTCGGAAGGCAAAACATCAAAATCAATTACAAAATCCGACTTTTCCGCTCTAGAATCTTCTCGTTCCTTCAATGCCGTTACTTTCGAACGTTAGCCTTCTGATTGATGGAAATAGGCTTTGTATAAATCTTCAAATTTCTGAATCGAAGTCTCTTTTAATTCTTGGCTCCATCTTGTCATATCAAAAACTTCTATCTTATGCCGCGAATCAAGAATTAAAACTGTATCATAAATCTAATTAGTTTTACAATAATGCTTTAATATTTTGTCTCTTGCAGCCTGAAAACTAACAATAAGCTGCTCTTCGACAGCGTTTCGATCTGCCTTTCGGTCCCATGCAAATATTTTGGTCTCAATATTATCTATTAGTATATTGATATATACAACCACCATAAGTAATTTGACGTACTTCTCTCCTCCGAGTTTCTTGGAAAGTATTTGAAAGTTGACTAGTAATTTATGCACTTCTTTTAGCACTATCCATTCTTTGTCCTCAAGGGCATATGGCTTTAAATCAACAACATTCTATGTCTACCTATGTCTACCTTCAAGAGGTACTTTCAACATATCATTACTGGAATTCCACTGTGTAGATACGAAAATATTTACAGAAATATTGCAGATATTATTTGCAGAAATACTTACCTGCAAGACTCTCGTACGAGACGCAAGACCTCATGCGCGAGACTCGAGACGAGACCAATGAAAGACCTTGTCAGAGTATCGTGTCGAGTCTCGTCTCGGAAACGAGACGATTATGCGAGACTCGATTATGCTATATATTTTTTAAAACACATAAATATTACAAATATTGTTCAAAATAGCTTCCTTCTGCTAGAATACATGCTTCACAACGACTATTTAAAGAGTTCTTC